CTCTCTCTCTCTCTCTCTCTCTCTCTATATATATATATATATATATATATATATATATATATATATATACATTCTGGCCAGGAATACAGCGTGAATTTAAGGTAAGATTGGACAAGTTAGTGAGACCCTGAGCCTTCTGTGTAGCTGGGGTGACCATCATGCACCATCAGGTCCGGCTTTTCTTGGAACTCTTGATGGAGATTGGATTTGTTCTAGGTTTTGTTTTTATGCATAAAGCTGATGTGACCATTCTTGTATGTCATTTTTTTAAAAGTTTTGCTGTTAGGCGTGTACCCCAAAGTAGAACCAAGGGTGTGCAAAGTATACGTATATCTAGATTAAGCATACATTGATGGCATTTTCCAAAGGTTAATAAGCCAACTTACTGTGCCCCTAGCCGTGTGTGAGAGTTCACATTGTGCCACAAGCAGCGCTCCAGAATGTTTCATCTTTTCAATTTTGCATCATCTGGTGACTGGATAGTGACATCAATGTGATATTAATTTTTTACTTCTCTGCTAACATGTCTGTGACTCATAAAATATCTGAATTATTTGATCCCAGTAGGACAGGTGTTTGAAACCCTCCCAAATGCTACCATGGGTCTCTCCTTATGTTCAGACCCTAGGGATTGAGAGACATGTAACTTTGTTATTACCTGCTAAGGAATAGGTATGGCTATGTAGACTACGGAGCACTTACTTGTGAAGCTTAGCCTATTTAGAGGTGTATTCAACCACACACAATGTAAAAACCATTTTTAAGAATGAAGAAAATATTAATATAAGTATAAAAGATTGATTTTCTTAGGAAAATAGAAACAATGCAGTTAAAGGTCTTTAAAAACAGGCAACAAAAACAAACCAATGAAATAAGAGGCGTATGATTCCCTCATCACAGTTCAGGCTCTTAATGCAATTTTAATAATTGGATCCAGGACGGAAATATGTAATAATGTTATAGGAGACACAGGCAATGCCATTTACTATCAACGAGTTTTGGTTATCTAATTAGCACCCATAACTAAAAACGTGCACTGGGAAGCCCATGTCGATCATTTGGAGACAGGCTATGTGCTGTTCATTGTGAAGATCTGGACACATTGTAGAGGAAATGCACACATGACGTCTTCAAGAGCAGATTCTGTGCTCTTTACGCCTCAGCAGGAGCATGTTCATTCTTCTTCATCTTCAGGCTGCAGCATCTGGCACGTGAAAGTTGCTTAAGGCAACTCTCTGATGTGGGTGATTTCAGGACCTGGGGAGGCCAGTGGAGGTGTTAAATTTTGGCTTCTGTGGCCTGACAATTTGGCAGTGAAGGATCATTACCAGAGTGTTTGTGTGTGTGCAAGCCTGTGTGTGCTCATGTACATGGGTGCATGTGGGTAACAGTGCATGTACACATGTACCCATGTGTGCATTCATGCATGCATGTACATGTGTGCATATGGGTCAGAGTACATGTTTACATGTGCATGAGTATACATTCATATGGATATTCTTTCAGATGCATGTATCCACGTGTGCACATGTACATGTGAACTCATGAAAGTGCCTGTGTCTGTACATGTACACATGCATGTGTGTCCACACATGTGGTTTGCCTCTCCACAGTGACCTGCAGCTCCTTGGTTTGTCTCTCTCCTTTTCCTGTCTCTGCAGTATTTTGGGAAATTCCTGGAGGATCTATCTCAGTCATTAATCTTATAGAAAGACCCATCAATGATGTCAAACAGAAAAATGAATCCCAATATGCACAAAAGTATA